TGATAAGTTAGATATGATAATTTTTGCTATTTTTTTGTTTGTTTTCAGAAAAAAAAATATTTAAGGTACTTTCTCCATAATTTTTGTTGATAACTCACTAAACTATTGGTAAAAGTGGTTGCACCATTACGTAATCCCAGTATATGAGATAGCATTTATTCTACATCCTCACCAGTACTTTGTATGGCCAAAGTATTTTGTTGTTGTTGTTGTTTTTTATACATTCTAATAACTGTGTAGTGATATCTCATTGAAGTTTTAATTTATATTTTCTTATTGACTGATAGTGTTGAACATGTTTTCACATATTATTTTCCATTTACATATATTCTTTGGTGAAGTAGCTTTTAAAATATCTTGTTCCCTTTTGATTTCTTGTTTGTTTCTTTTAATATTAATTATTGCAGATTCTTCTTTTATATATTCTGAAAATAAGTAAAATATGATTTTCAAATAATATTTCAAAATTGGTGATTTTTCTTTTGATTCTCTTAACATGTTCTTTTAAGAGCAGAAGTTTCTAATTTTGATAAAGTCCACTTACACAGTTTTTTACTATGCATATGATGCTTTTGATGTCATACATAAGAAATCTTTGCTTAACTCAGTGTTCTAATTTTTATCTTCTAGAGTTGGTTTTATATATTTACATTTCCATCTAGGCCTACATCCATATGGTTTAATTTTTTATTAGTAAGGTATAAATTAGATGCTCATTTTTTTCTTTACTGCTTCCATAAAATATGTCTGATTTTTCCAGAAGAATTTGTTGAAAAGTCTGTAATTTCTTCTCAGAATCACTTTTGCATCTTTCTGAAAATCAACTGGCCATAAATATTTAGGATAATAAAGATAGGTGTAGATGTTACTTATGTCCCAAAGTGGTCCTTCTTTGTAAGTCATTTTTATGTGTCTGGTAGGGTTTTCTTTTGATCTTATCAATAATTGAGTTGAGTTTTGATTTCATTTTTGCTGCTATAATCCCCACTGTGTGATAGGCTTCACATTCCTCCAGTTATAGGCTTCTATTACCCAGTAAGACCTGTGAGTGGAGTCTTCCCCTATCCAGTTCCACTCTAAGATTTCAGAAATCCTTTTGCCTATTCTATAGAAAAAAAATTTTTTTTCATGTTCTTGCTTCATTTCTACTAGTAAACTATTGTTCTGTAATGCTTAGTGCTAGCTCATGGTGGGGTAGGGAAATAGTCCACAGTTCTGATTATGGCTGTTGTATTTTGTCAATCTCTTTTTTTAAATACCTATGAATATGAACATATGATTTTACTCTCCTTATATCTATCAATATTATACACTACATCAGAGAATTTCTTATTATTGTACAAAGTTCACATTCATTATGTGACCCCACCTGGTCATTATGCATTATTTTAATTTTTTTTGTCAGCTTATGTTTACAAATATAGGTGCATTGCATAGGAATTATAAAACAATATTCATAAGTGAGATTGATTCATATTTTTTTTCCTTTTGTATTGGATGTTCAAAACATTACAAAGCTCATGACATATCATCTTTCATACATTTGACTCAAGTGGATTATGAACTCTCATTTTTACCCCAAATACAAATTGCAGAATCACATTGGTTACACATTCACATTTTTCCATAATGGCATATCAGTGACTGTTGTATTCTGCTACCTTTCCTATCCCTACTATCCCCCCTCCCCTCCCCTCCCATCTTCCCTCTCTAACTCATCTGCTGTTGTTCAACTCTCTCCCTTGTTTCCCCCCTTTCCCCTCACAACCTCTTATATGTAATTTTGTGTAACATTGAGGGTCTCCTACCATTTCCATATG